GTAGAGGAGAGCGGGCTGGCGAGGCCTAAGCAATTAATCAACCACTGCTCAATTAATGAGTTGGTCGCGCGTATGTAGAGGAGAGCGGGCTGGCGAGGCCTAAGCAGTGAATTAACCACTGCTCAATTAATGAGTTGGTCGCGCGTATGTAGAGGAGAGCGGGCTGGCGAGGCCTAAGCAGTGAATTAACCACTGCTCAATTAATGAGTTGGTCGCGCGTATGTAGAGGAGAGCGGGCTGGCGAGGCCTAAGCAGTGAATGAACCACTGCTCAATTAATGAGTTGGTCGCGCGTATGTAGAGGAGAGCGGGCTGGCGAGGCCTAAGCAGTGAATTAACCACTGCTCAATTAATGAGTTGGTCGCGCGTATGTAGAGGAGAGCGGGCTGGCGAGGCCTAAGCAGTGAATGAACCACTGCTCAATTTATGAGTTGGTCGCGCGTATGTAGAGGAGAGCGGGCTGGCGAGGCCTAAGCAGTGAATTAACCACTGCTCAATTAATGAGTTGGTCGCGCGTATGTAGAGGAGAGCGGGCTGGCGAGGCCTAAGCAGTGAATTAACCACTGCTCAATTAATGAGTTGGTCGCGCGTATGTAGAGGAGAGCGGGCTGGCGAGGCCTAAGCAATTAATTAAACACTGCTCAATTAATGAGTTGGTCGCGCGTATGTAGAGGAGAGCGGGCTGGCGAGGCCTAAGCAGTGAATTAACCACTGCTCAATTAATGAGTTGGTCGCGCGTATGTAGAGGAGAGCGGGCTGGCGAGGCCTAAGCAGTGAATGAACCACTGCTCAATTAATGAGTTGGCCGCGCGTATGTAGAGGAGAGCGGGCTGGCGAGGCCTAAGCAGTGAATTAACCACTGCTCAATTAATGAGTTGGTCGCGCGTATGTAGAGGAGAGCGGGCTGGCGAGGCCTAAGCAATTAATCAACCACTGCTCAATTAATGAGTTGGTCGCGCGTATGTAGAGGAGAGCGGGCTGGCGAGGCCTAAGCAGTGAATTAACCACTGCTCAATTAATGAGTTGGTCGCGCGTATGTAGAGGAGAGCGGGCTGGCGAGGCCTAAGCAGTGAATGAACCACTGCTCAATTAATGAGTTGGTCGCGCGTATGTAGAGGAGAGCGGGCTGGCGAGGCCTAAGCAGTGAATTAACCACTGCTCAATTAATGAGTTGGTCGCGCGTATGTAGAGGAGAGCGGGCTGGCGAGGCCTAAGCAGTGAATTAACCACTGCTCAATTAATGAGTTGGTCGCGCGTATGTAGAGGAGAGCGGGCTGGCGAGGCCTAAGCAGTGAATTAACCACTGCTCAATTAATGAGTTGGTCGCGCGTATGTAGAGGAGAGCGGGCTGGCGAGGCCTAAGCAGTGAATTAACCACTGCTCAATTAATGAGTTGGTCGCGCGTATGTAGAGGAGAGCGGGCTGGCGAGGCCTAAGCAGTGAATTAACCACTGCTCAATTAATGAGTTGGTCGCGCGTATGTAGAGGAGAGCGGGCTGGCGAGGCCTAAGCAGTGAATGAACCACTGCTCAATTAATGAGTTGGTCGCGCGTATGTAGAGGAGAGCGGGCTGGCGAGGCCTAAGCAATTAATCAACCACTGCTCAATTAATGAGTTGGTCGCGCGTATGTAGAGGAGAGCGGGCTGGCGAGGCCTAAGCAGTGAATGAACCACTGCTCAATTAATGAGTTGGTCGCGCGTATGTAGAGGAGAGCGGGCTGGCGAGGCCTAAGCAGTGAATGAACCACTGCTCAATTAATGAGTTGGTCGCGCGTATGTAGAGGAGAGCGGGCTGGCGAGGCCTAAGCAGTGAATTAACCACTGCTCAATTAATGAGTTGGTCGCGCGTATGTAGAGGAGAGCGGGCTGGCGAGGCCTAAGCAATGAATTAACCACTGCTCAATTAATGAGTTGGTCGCGCGTATGTAGAGGAGAGCGGGCTGGCGAGGCCTAAGCAGTGAATTAAACACTGCTCAATTAATGAGTTGGTCGCGCGTATGTAGAGGAGAGCGGGCTGGCGAGGCCTAAGCAGTGAATGAACCACTGCTCAATTAATGAGTTGGTCGCGCGTATGTAGAGGAGAGCGGGCTGGCGAGGCCTAAGCAGTGAATGAACCACTGCTCAATTAATGAGTTGGCCGCGCGTATGTAGAGGAGAGCGGGCTGGCGAGGCCTAAGCAATTAATTAAACACTGCTCAATTAATGAGTTGGTCGCGCGTATGTAGAGGAGAGCGGGCTGGCGAGGCCTAAGCAGTGAACTAAACACTGCTCAATTAATGAGTTGGTCGCGCGTATGTAGAGGAGAGCGGGCTGGCGAGGCCTAAGCAATTAATTAAACACTGCTCAATTAATGAGTTGGTCGCGCGTATGTAGAGGAGAGCGGGCTGGCGAGGCCTAAGCAGTGAATTAACCACTGCTCAATTAATGAGTTGGTCGCGCGTATGTAGAGGAGAGCGGGCTGGCGAGGCCTAAGCAGTGAATGAACCACTGCTCAATTAATGAGTTGGTCGCGCGTATGTAGAGGAGAGCGGGCTGGCGAGGCCTAAGCAGTGAATGAACCACTGCTCAATTAATGAGTTGGTCGCGCGTATGTAGAGGAGAGCGGGCTGGCGAGGCCTAAGCAGTGAATTAACCACTGCTCAATTAATGAGTTGGTCGCGCGTATGTAGAGGAGAGCGGGCTGGCGAGGCCTAAGCAGTGAATTAACCACTGCTCAATTAATGAGTTGGTCGCGCGTATGTAGAGGAGAGCGGGCTGGCGAGGCCTAAGCAGTGAATTAACCACTGCTCAATTAATGAGTTGGTCGCGCGTATGTAGAGGAGAGCGGGCTGGCGAGGCCTAAGCAGTGAATTAACCACTGCTCAATTAATGAGTTGGTCGCGCGTATGTAGAGGAGAGCGGGCTGGCGAGGCCTAAGCAGTGAATTAACCACTGCTCAATTAATGAGTTGGTCGCGCGTATGTAGAGGAGAGCGGGCTGGCGAGGCCTAAGCAGTGAATGAACCACTGCTCAATTAATGAGTTGGTCGCGCGTATGTAGAGGAGAGCGGGCTGGCGAGGCCTAAGCAGTGAATTAACCACTGCTCAATTAATGAGTTGGTCGCGCGTATGTAGAGGAGAGCGGGCTGGCGAGGCCTACGCAGTGAATGAACCACTGCTCAATTAATGAGTTGGTCGCGCGTATGTAGAGGAGAGCGGGCTGGCGAGGCCTAAGCAGTGAACTAACCACTGCTCAATTAATGAGTTGGTCGCGCGTATGTAGAGGAGAGCGGGCTGGCGAGGCCTAAGCAGTGAACTAAACACTGCTCAATTAATGAGTTGGTCGCGCGTATGTGGAGGAGAGCGGGCTGGCGAGGCCTAAGCAGTGAATGAACCACTGCTCAATTAATGAGTTGGCCGCGCGTATGTAGAGGAGAGCGGGCTGGCGAGGCCTAAGCAGTGAACTAAACACTGCTCAATTAATGAGTTGGTCGCGCGTATGTAGAGGAGAGCGGGCTGGCGAGGCCTAAGCAGTGAATGAACCACTGCTCAATTAATGAGTTGGTCGCGCGTATGTAGAGGAGAGCGGGCTGGCGAGGCCTAAGCAATTAATTAACCACTGCTCAATTAATGAGTTGGTCGCGCGTATGCAGAGGAGAGCGGGCTGGCGAGGCCTAAGCAATTAATTAACCACTGCTCAATTAATGAGTTGGTCGCGCGTATGTAGAGGAGAGCGGGCTGGCGAGGCCTAAGCAGTGAATTAACCACTGCTCAATTAATGAGTTGGTCGCGCGTATGTAGAGGAGAGCGGGCTGGCGAGGCCTAAGCAGTGAATTAAACACTGCTCAATTAATGAGTTGGTCGCGCGTATGTAGAGGAGAGCGGGCTGGCGAGGCCTAAGCAATTAATCAACCACTGCTCAATTAATGAGTTGGTCGCGCGTATGTAGAGGAGAGCGGGCTGGCGAGGCCTAAGCAATTAATTAACCACTGCTCAATTAATGAGTTGGTCGCGCGTATGTAGAGGAGAGCGGGCTGGCGAGGCCTAAGCAGTGAATTAACCACTGCTCAATTAATGAGTTGGTCGCGCGTATGTAGAGGAGAGCGGGCTGGCGAGGCCTAAGCAATTAATTAAACACTGCTCAATTAATGAGTTGGTCGCGCGTATGTAGAGGAGAGCGGGCTGGCGAGGCCTAAGCAGTGAATTAACCACTGCTCAATTAATGAGTTGGTCGCGCGTATGTAGAGGAGAGCGGGCTGGCGAGGCCTAAGCAATTAATCAACCACTGCTCAATTAATGAGTTGGTCGCGCGTATGTAGAGGAGAGCGGGCTGGCGAGGCCTAAGCAGTGAATGAACCACTGCTCAATTAATGAGTTGGCCGCGCGTATGTAGAGGAGAGCGGGCTGGCGAGGCCTAAGCAGTGAACTAACCACTGCTCAATTAATGAGTTGGTCGCGCGTATGTAGAGGAGAGCGGGCTGGCGAGGCCTAAGCAGTGAATTAACCACTGCTCAATTAATGAGTTGGTCGCGCGTATGTAGAGGAGAGCGGGCTGGCGAGGCCTACGCAGTGAATGAAACACTGCTCAATTAATGAGTTGGTCGCGCGTATGTAGAGGAGAGCGGGCTGGCGAGGCCTATGCACTGAATTAACCACTGCTCAATTAATGAGTTGGTCGCGCGTATGTAGAGGAGAGCGGGCTGGCGAGGCCTAAGCACTGAATTAACCACTGCTCAATTAATGAGTTGGTCGCGCGTATGTAGAGGAGAGCGGGCTGGCGAGGCCTAAGCACTGAATTAACCACTGCTCAATTATTGAGTTGGTCGCGCGTATGTAGAGGAGAGCGGGCTGGCGAGGCCTAAGCACTGAATTAAACACTGCTCAATTATTGAGTTGGTCGCGCGTATGTAGAGGAGAGCGGGCTGGCGAGGCCTAAGCACTGAACTAAACACTGCTCACTTATTGAGTTGGTCGCGCGTATGTAGAGGAGAGCGGGCTGGCGAGGCCTAGAAGCAGTGAACTAACCACTGCTCAATTAATGAGTTGGTCGCGCGTATGCAGAGGAGAGCGGGCTGGCGAGGCCTAAGCAGTGAATGAACCACTGCTCAATTAATGAGTTGGCCGCGCGTATGTAGAGGAGAGCGGGCTGGCGAGGCCTAAGCAATTAATTAACCACTGCTCAATTAATGAGTTGGCCGCGCGTATGTAGAGGAGAGCGGGCTGGCGAGGCCTAAGCAGTGAATGAACCACTGCTCAGTTAATGAGTTGGTCGCGCGTATGTAGAGGAGAGCGGGCTGGCGAGGCCTAAGCAGTGAATTAACCACTGCTCAATTAATGAGTTGGCCGCGCGTATGTAGAGGAGAGCGGGCTGGCGAGGCCTAAGCAGTGAACTAACCACTGCTCAATTAATGAGTTGGCCGCGCGCACGGCGAGGAGAGCGGGTTGGCGAAGCCGGAGAGTCCGAGCGTGCCATACCTGAAGAGCCGCACCGAGGTCAGAGAATGGTGCCGTGCCACGTACGCACCGAGGTCAGTACAGTACCGTCACAGTGCCGTGCCGCGTGCGCACCGAGGTCAGAGATGGTACTGTGCAGCGTACTCAGAGCACCGCGTGAGTACGAGGGGGGGGTGCGGAGTGCGGTTGAGTACGCGGCCCTCTCGAGCGCTAGTTGGGAGAAAAGAAAGACGCGTGTTCCGCTTCTAGCGTGCCGTGCAGCTGCTTGAACT